GTGTCAAAACTGAAACTGCGTGCAGGAAAGCCTTGGTTTCCATTCATCCCCCGCTTCAAACAAACGGTGACAGGGAAGTGTCAGTCCTCAAAAACATCCTGTTTCGGCATTTTCTAAACAAAAACGTTCCAGGTTTTGGTTTAAATGACTTGATAGACGGAAGAGACAAGGTGGGTGAGGTGGTGTCTTTTATTGGACCAACTTCTGTTGCTGAGACACACAAGCTTACATAGAGCTCTGTGTAAGCTCGAGAGCCGGTCTCTCGCACCAACAGAAGCTGGTCCAATAAAAGATATCACCTCGCCCACCTTGCCTCTCTAATATCCTGGGACTGACAAGGCTACAACACTATTACTACATACACGAATTTACAATTAATAAAAGGTTAGATAAAGAAACGTTTTGATTGGCCCGGTCCAAAAGCAGTTTCAGATTTTCAGTATGCAGAATTTTTCGAGATTGAAGTTTTGTCCTGATTTGGGATGGAAAATTGTTTTGAAATTTCAAATTTCCCCCCAGACAGGAAAACCATCCCCCAGCTTACCAAGGACGGTGTGTTTGTTGTCTTCAACCCATGACTGCAGTGGGCATGGTGGAAGCTCAGCACCTTTGAAAAACTGATTATTGGCACCTCTGCAGCAGCCCTTTAACAAACTTTAACGGATTCATGCTCCCAGCTGGCTTAGGGGCAGGGCCATTAGCTGTAGTGTCAGTATTCCCCAATTACAGGTGCACAGACAGGTTTCAACAGGCTTAGAACCACCTCTCACGTTCTGAACTGTAGGTTTATTTCATGGTTTGCTATCAGAGAGATGCTGATTACAGTCTGGTTCCATCTCTGCTAGAGAACTAGGACCCCAGCTGTGGGACAAAAACCCAAGATGAAAGAACTAAAATAGCAGAGCAGGCACGGGGGGCGGGGCTTTAAACGATTAGTTAGCTAGCCCCATTGACGTGCATTTCACTTTACAGACCTAGGAGCCCTATATTCTCTGTATCCAAGAACCCAAAATTGTCCCCCAGCCCCTCCTAACAGTCATTTGGACGAACACCTATTCCCAATCATGCAGACCATGGCCACACAATAGCTCTGTGGCAGCGACAGGACTCACTCACGTGGAAGGTCTCCTGTGTGTGTAGGCACCGCTTGCTGGCAATGGAATGACACTAGAATCACGCCCCCGGCAAACACTGGACTAGAGAAAACAGCTCAACTGCACCACTGGGCAGTACAAGCAGAGGGGGGTGAGCCCAAGGAGGGGAGGAGGAGTGTTTGCCTTTGGTTCCTGCATGCTGGGCTAGCAGAAGCCAGGAGCAGCACGGAAGGGGTGAACAGCAGCCAGCGCTGACCTGTGCAAGCCAGTTCCAGGGGGGTTGTGGCCAGCCTCCAATGATTTTAAGTGGGACAAATGGGGGCGGTAAAGGACAGAGGGCAGAAAATGCTGCTTCAGGGGGTCATTTGGACAGGTAGAAGGGGTGCATCCCATGGGCGTATATGCCAACCTCCCTCAGGAACATTCACCAGCTCCAGGAGAAGTTCCTCTGCTGGAGGCCTGTTTGGCTGAAATGGGGTTTGCCAAGCACTGAGATCAGCGGCTGGAGGATACCAGAGCAAAGCATGACAGTATTAGCATTTACCTTATCACCCACCCCTGCCCCAGGTTATGGCTGAAGATGATTAAACAAACCCTCATCTCCCAGTACCAGAGGCTAAATTCATGCAGGGTTTTAAAACACTTTGCGCCCCAAGACTACAAGAAACCCGAAGCTAACACATTAAAGGCTGCTGCCAAAATACCAGAACTCACTCAACACATGAGCATGTTCTCCACGGCTAGTGATTAGCCAATCCAATCCGTCATAGGTCTCAGGAGGTGAGCACAGGTGTAGCCCTGAGCTACAAGTGAAGTCATGGCCCAGGAGCCTTCTCATGGGAGAACGCTCCCTTCACACCAGGCCTCACAACCTGCCCAAGGAGGAAAGTTCCCTGTCTGGAGAGGGCGAGAAGCTATCTGAGCCCCAAACTGCAGGTGGGAGGGAAAAAAGAAGGGTGCAAGTGTGGTTCTCGCTCTGTTTTCAATAGTATTATGAGAGTTTATTAATACAGACTTAATGCCATTGGAACAGATCGCAAATCCTTACGTCTTTGTACAAAAAGAGTTAGTATTTCCAGATCAGAACATCGAGTATAAACCAGTAAAAATACAGCAGAGCGCTGCTCTAGGGCAGGAGAGCCAGGAGGGGAGGGGAAAGCCGCTCCCGCCCTGTAATAGCTACAAACCTTGAGTGCCAACAGAGCGAGTCTGCTGTGCAGCACGCCGCCCTAAGAACATACCCTGTACGGGGGGAGGGGATGCACACCGCCAGTGCATGGCACTGATGTGGTCAAGTACAAAGGGGAGCCACAGGGGCCATCACAGATACACCCTGTATTCAAACCTTCCATTCTTCAGGAGCTCACTTTGTCCCCAGCCACCCCAATCCTGGAGGCCTGGGGCAGAGCAGGTGGGGAGGAGCAGACCAGGGCTGTTCCGGGGGCCCAGCCTGGAAGCCCTTCTCACAGATGTTGGGTTTTGCCATGGGATGCTCTTGTAGATCCTTGCTTGTGTGTACAGAGTCAGGACAGACAGTCGAAAGCAGGAGGTGACGTATTTTGTTTTTTATATACAGAATACAGGAAAGTTTCTGTAAAGTCTAAAACATTACAATGACTATGTACATCGGAACTAGCTGTTCTGGAGGGCGGGGAGGTGGCAGAGAACAAAAAAGACAAACAGGTTTACGACAAACGATTTGCTACAATAGACAGTTTGAGGCAACGTCATACCACATGTAGCACTGTACACAGCTTTAAAACATTGAAAATGCCATCACGGATGTATTTACACAGAGTCCAATACTTTTCCTTCTTTGAAATAAAATAGGATGGACACCAGGAAAAGAACTCACTTCTCATTGCCCATAATACACAGTAGCTACTTGTAGTGCAACCATAGCAGGGAGGGTGGGGTAAAATAAGTGGGGGGAGGATAGCACTTCTTTACATTAAATAAAACAATGATATTGTATAGATTTGCTGTATGAAAACTGTATTTTTCTCTTTTAATATAAAACTATTGTCACTGGCACAAAATAGAACAAGTTTTTGATTATTTTACAACTGCATGGGACCGATCTGTCAGAGAGAGTCCAAGTCAGCCAGCACCCGCCCCTCCCCCTCCTCGCTCTGACACGTCCTCCTCTTGCTGCAGCTTTCCTTTTAAAATGAAATGTATAGTACAAATATATGTGCAAATGCCCCTAAAACTTGAGCAAAAGAAGAAAATAATTAAAAAAGTGAAACGTTCTTCATTTCATGCAAACGGCACGTGAACAGTTTCTGGGCCGACAGAAAATCCCAACTTGGTCTGTACATTTTTGCATTGCAGGAGTCTAAGGACAGGGCTTTTCTTCCCCCACGGCTCTGCCTCAGCTCCTAGGGAACGGAGTTGGACCGCAGCACGGGCACCTGGTGGGGTTTCAGAGAGAGCTTTTCCTCCAAGTCCATCTCTTGTACTAAGGCAGCGTCCCCTTTGGGCTGTTTGGTTGCAAAGTCAGTGATGCTGAAGACAAACTGCAGGCAGCCCAGTTTGATGTAACTGCCGTGGTGGAGCAGGGCTGTTCCTTCCCACCCCGCTCCGCTGCCCCCTATTAAACTAGAGCTGCTGGCTTTGCAATTGCAGGGTTTCCGGCGTTGCCCTTGTGCCTGGGAATTCATCACGACTGCTTCTTCGTGCGGCTCCTCGTCCTCTTTTCTGCCTTTGTGGCATTCTGGAAAAGAAACGCAAATGAGAAACAGGCTGCAGCAAGTGTCCCATCCAGAGAGCGTCACACTCAAGCGCAGCAGCTTGTTTCTATACAACATGAAGTGCTGCAGTCACATGATCACCAGCCACTTCAGAGTGCGGCCAGCCCCTGGGTCAGTGCTGCAGAGAGCTGTATGTACGCCCAGCTGTGGGAAGTGCACGCGGTCAGGTGGGCAGAGGTGGAGAATGATGCTTGGAGTGTAGCCCCCCCACAGGACCATTTGCTTCCAGGTCAGAGACTGTGTTCCCTGTAAGCTGCGCGGTGTTCAGGTGCCCTCCCCCCACGTTGCTCTGTCCTGAAGCTGCTCCCGGGACCCTCCCGCTGGCTGTGCAGAGCTGGGGAGTGGAGGGGGAGAGAGGCGGAAGGTGCTGTTAGGGTGTCCTCCTCCCCCTGTACCCCATCTCCGCAGAGCAGGGCAGAGGGGACAACTTAGCTCAGGAGGACTGGGAGCTGCTGTGGTCTGAATGGGGAATGGCGGAGTGCCTTTCTTAAAGAGACAGTGCACGGTTTCTGAGATTTCCCCAGCAGCCAGCTCACACAGTCTCTCTCTCTCGCACACACACACCCCTCCTCCCCACGTACACCCTCTCTGCAGAGCCGGGGAGGGGAGACAACAGGGCTCAGAGTCAGTCAGGACAGAGCAGGAGAGCTTTCAGGGAGTGTCTTAAAGAGAGCACACAGCTTTCCCCAGCAGCCAGCGTGTGTACGTGCGCACACACACACACACACACACACACCTTGTTGTTGTTACTACTTGGTACTTCCTGCAGTGCACGTATAGTCTCTGTAATTGTCTTCTTTCTCAGTGTGTTATTTTAGTGTTTTGACTGGTCTGTGCATTTCATAATTTTTATTTCTCTTACACTTAAATTTAATTCTTTGAGTAGTGAGTTCTACAACGCCTAACCTGTCCTGGCTGGAGTAATTATCCCTATGGATATATTTATTATATATATCCTCTCCCTGTATATATATTATATCTAGGTTTTTTGTTTCTACTGGTGGCGCACATCTGCGCACCCCTTGGTGCACATACCAAAATTTATTATGTACATGGATGGAAAAAATTAGAGGGAACATTGGTCAGAGGCAAATCTATGGAGCAAGTCTAAGGAGACCATGATTCCAGCTCAGAACTGATGGCTTTCAGGAGAGGCCCCTAAGTCGGAATTAACTCTAATTAGAGGAAGCAGGTATTTGCAGTTCAAAGCACTCGCTGCCCAAGCAGCTGGGCTCAGAGGGGAGAGTTATACTGTGTGTGCTGAGCAAGTCTGGGCTTTGGTGAGACCCCTTCCTTCTGCACTTAGTCCTTCAGCACAAACTGGAGTTTCCACTCCCCCCACTGCTGGCTCCCCTGGCAGCACGAGGGCAGGGCCCGGCCCCATCTCCCTGTCGGGAACACGTTCCTCCAAGACTTACTGATCACACTCTGCACTTTGGCAACAATGCTGCTGGGAGGAATGGGCGTGGTCTTCTCCGAGAAGTCACATGAATACAGAACATTGTCCACAGTCGTCCCATGCTCACTGTAGTTCAACAGCTCGTAATGTTTTGTATTCTAGGAAGGAAGAGACACTTAACATGTAACCCAGGCACCACTGAATGGGACAGAAAGCCCAAAGACCCCATTCTGTACTGCATTCCTGCTTCCCATCAGTGCACTGCTCAGACGGAGGGACCTACCGAGCTAAACAGGCCGTTTCAGGCAGTGGCAAGTCAGACTTCATGGAATCTGGCTGCATGCATGTTACCCAGAATGCTCTGCATGCTGATCTTGCACAGAATGCAGAACGAGCAAATGAAAACTGCTCACACAATTATGGCTCATCAATCCTCTGAAAGAGATTCATATCGTTGGGACCATGCTTTACTGCACAGGACCCAATTCCCCACCTGCTAATCCTCTGACAGACCCTCACACATTAGCCACTGTGTGCTGCTCACCACACTGCCAAGGGGTCTAACCAGAAAGGAGCGTCTGCTAGTGAACACTTCATTCCCAAACCACGGAGCACATTCACTGTGCTGGAGAAACAGCAGGCCTCAGCCCTCCCTGCACAGGGGGTCATTAGCACAGCTGTGAGCACTAACTCCAGCCACAAGGCACTGCCCCAGAGATTAAACACTCTGCCTCCAGTGTGTCTAGAGACACTCAGATGTGAGTGAGTCCCTGACCCCAGCAGAGAGTACCCAGCCCGACAGCGGGGGAAGAAGAGTGACATGACACGAGAAGGAAGCCATGAGGACTGATCAGATCTTGTCAGGGTGGGGTAGGATCAAGTTATGAAATTGCTATTACATTAAAAGTACAATGTTTTGTTAGCCCACATTACATGGACTAAAACCTAGCTAACAGGGATAGCTCAGTCATTGTCAACAGGGAATTATCCGCCCCTCGGGTGTTTCTGGTGGGCTCCTGCAAGGATCTGCTTTTGGCCCAACATTATTCCGTGACTTTAGCAATGGTCTGGAAGAAAAGGTCCACAGACGATGAAATCGGTGTAGTAGTAAATAATGACCGGGACATGTCAAATCTAGAGCACAAGGCAGGCTCATCTGAACAGCGGGTGTAACACAGCCAAAGGCAAAGTCCTACATCTGGGGACAGAACGCAGGCCTCTCGTAGAGGACAGGGAACAATTTCAGAATGCAGTGACTCTGAAGAGGACTTGGCTGAACATGCGCTCCCAGTGTGACCCGGTGGCTAAGAGGGCTCAAGGGATTCTTGGATGTATAAGCATAGACGTATACGGAGGAGTAGGGAGGTGTTCCCACTGTATATGGCAATAGTGAGACCACTACTGGCCTAGTGTATCCAGTTCTGGTGTCCATGCTTCAAAAATGAGGTTGACACTGAAAACAGATTAAGGACGTGCAGAGACTCAGACCAGAGTTTGCCCCGAGGGAACTTGTCAGCAGAACTCTGTCTCAGAAAGAGGGTTACCAGTAAATGCTGACCCCACCTTAACTCTTGTACAAGCCTGGCTCTCACTCTGCAGCCCACAAAGAGGCTCCACACAGCTGCTTTCATCTCCAACTCTGAGCAAGTGGCAAAGCAAAGGCCCAGGCGCTCACCTCATCGTAGAATATGCAGGCATGTTTGCCAGACACATAGTTACAGTGACTGTAGCTTGTAAGGCACACATCCATGTCAGCTCCTGCAAGGGACGGGAAGACAAAATACGGGCTCAAGTCAATTGAATTCAGAAAAGCTGGCCCAGGCAGCACAGAGCGAGAGAATTAAGTGTCAGGGGGCTTGGTGAACAGTGCTGAGATAAGCCACAGAACAAAGTTTCTGCAGGGAAACTTCCCCCCTGTAAGATTAAGCAGGGGAAGGTGGAAAACCATTTCGGCATTATTGTGCCCTTCCAGTGTGCTAGGGGCTCCAAGCTGAGGCAAGAGTGGCAAATGCCCAAAATGATCATTAATCTCCCTTCTTAGCAGTTACCAGTTAGAAACCGACTCTGGGAGCCTAGGAAAGTTGTGACTTTTTAATGGCAAATCTCAGACTGTGTGGTATCAAGAGTTAATACTCCCACCCTAAAACAATGGCTATCAAATCTGGGCTACAGGCACCTAACCATGCCAGTCACATGGTGTCCTGCCATCTAAGTGAGCTTTCTTGCACATGTTGCCTGATAATACAAAAGAGAAACAGAATGCCAAAATCCCAGGATAAAATGACTGGCCCCAACATGGCATTCTCCAAAGAGCTGCATTCACTTCTACTGGGGTGACTTTAGTGCATTATGGCTTGGATTGTTTATGTGCAAACAAAATAAAAACTGAACAAATGGAAAGTGATTTTTTTCATTGTGATTCTGCAAGCCCCCAGCTAGGAGACGGCACTGACCTGTCCCGATGTAGAGGGTTCTGTAGCACATGTTCACTGCACTTCCTGTGCCCATCAGGGGATAGAACACTGCCCGGGCTTGCACTTCCTTTCTTTGCACTGGAAGACAAAAGGGAGATCTGAACACTACTGAATATATTGCCTACAGTAATATCAAGTTACTGGGTTTAAGTATTCCCCCTACTGGGCTGTCTGGGGCTCACGCATCATTTTTAAAAAGGAAACTATCAACTTGAAATTTGGACAAAATCAGAAATAGTTTCAGCTCTTACCCCCGACCAATTGTTGTGGTTTTACAGTCACATCTTTCTACTCCCCCACTGCTATGTGAAAGACCCGCACAAGCCACGTGACTATACAGGGGAAATGACACTGGGCATGGACAAAGGAAACAAACTGGGAAGAGACTATTTCTCCTCTCTCATCTCTTCCAGTTCCAGGACTGTGAAGTGTTAAAGCACACGTCTTCTGAATTGTCCTCCAGTTCCTTTAAGATGGTGCCCCTTTAAACTGAATTTGGAGCTAGCGAAAGCTGCCAAGTCGACAGCCCTAGAGACAAAGCTGCTAGTTAGCCCCTGAGAAAAGACCAGGCAGATGCAGAACAAGCTTTTCCACGGATCAATTTAAAATTCCTACAGCTGGAAGGGTGGGGGCGGGGGAGGATTCCCTCTTCAACTGGTTTAATCTTAGTTCAGTCTCCACAGCACAGTCAATCCTGGACCCTCCTACTACCGAGGCTGCCGACAAAGAACCAGCGGTTACATGGACACAGAGCTCACATCCCCATTGCACCTGGAACAGGCAGACCACAATCTTGTTTCACATAAGGGTCACTCACATAGCAGTCAAATGGCAACCTGGTCTAGGTTTGAATGGCTCAGTACCTGGACCTAAAACCACCATGTCCTCTTCCTGTCCATGCAAACGCACATGCAGTCTAACCTAACTCCCCCCCACATGCATCTCCAGGACAGTTTCACATCAAGAAAAGATGTGAAACTGACCAAGCATGCAGATTACACACTGAGTAAAGAGTGTCAAAAAACAAACATTTAGAATCTGTGTCTGGAATTCACCACTGATGTCAAGAACACTCTCCATGGGATTACGTGGAGCCTTCAGCATGGAACGTGCCAAAAAGCTTCACTGTTCCCAACACATTTCTACATTTGGCTGCTCTGCTTAGTACAGATCAGCCAGCGGGGCTTGTCTCAAGTGCGCCATCAACAAACAAAATAAAAGTCAAAATTAGCACAGGGGGAAGTTTGATGGGTCAAAAAGACAAAGCAGGTAGGGAACACAGCCATGGATCTCCCCTAGGATAGTCTGTGCCAATGATCTGAGATTCAGTTCTACAAGTGTCTGCTGGCCACATTATTTAATCCCAGTGCTGGCCCTGTGCAGTCCCACAGCTGCCACTAGCTCCAGAAGTGTTAGAAGACAGACACAGTTACTGAGAGACATTCAGAATCTGTGCTGCAATGCCACAGCCTGAAATGACCAGGTGAGCTGAGACAAGGACAAATCAAGTTTGTGATACAGCCAATAGGGCACTACCACAGATCTCACCTCTGTCCCTATTGTACAATTTGGATTGAAGAAATCCATGGATTTTAAAATGTAACACCCTCACTGTATGCCCCAGTTTTTGCAGCTCACGTTTAGGTTTCTCTTTCAAGCCCACAAACCAGTTTTCTCCAGCTCCAAAAAGAAGGCAGCAGGATTTCAAACAAACACACTTGTTCATTTGCTTCCCAGATCCCCGAGCCTCTTGCAAACATGCCAGAGAAGGCAGCTGGGCCTTTCCCTTCCTTGCTAGATCAGACTGGTGCAACTTGGCCTAACACCACAATAACAGAAACAGAACATCCATGGCTGCAAGTTGCTGTGATGCAGCAGGGAGAGAGCAAGCTCCTTTTCCTACCACGTTTGCCAAAAGCTCAACAAGGGGAAGTGGAGGAACATTTCTGATCGAAGAGTATCCGGAGAGGAGGGGCAAGAGGAAGGAAGGAGATGAAATGGGGGTCTCCCAAATACCAGAAAAGAGAGAATCTCTCTGGATGACAGTCTGATGGCATGGTATGCTGAGAAAAACCACAGCTCAATGCAAAGAGACTATTCTAGGGCTGCTCTTACCTTCAATGTGATTTGCCAAAGGAGACGACTGATGGGAACTGACACTGCTCGCTACAGATTGAACTTTGGAAGGAAAGAGCTGCTGTATTCTCTGCAAGGCCAGAAACTTGATTAGCTTCTCATCCAGCATATTTATCTCAATCTCTGTTAATAAATAAAAAGCAATTAGTAAGTTATTCACGGAGAGGGCGTCATTTGATCTGCTGTGGGCTTAACTGTCCTGCTCCTAAATTTTGCCATTTGCTTCTGTAAGCAGCAACTCTGTCAGGAAAAACTCTGCAGCCTCAGGAGTCTAAAGTGCAGGGTGCTCTATTACTTTCTAAATACATCCTCTTTCCTAGCAGCATGTCTGGACAGCAAGACTTGTCATCTTGGAGAGCTGCAGTCTAGACAGGAAAGGGACGTGTTCGTTTTTCTGGCTAGGAAAAAGCTGAAGACTCTACACGTGGGCAGAGATACAGAAAGGCCATGTGTATTTCAGGCTCTTTTGGGCAGCAGGGATGGGGCGTGCTTCTTGTGAGACTCAAATTTACAACCCGGTTGGAAAAAAGCTTGACTAGATCTACCCCAGAGATAAATGACAACTCCTTAGGTGCGGTACACTCTCATTTTCAGGGTCACAGTCTTTCATGGCAGGTTCAACTTAAAATTGTTCAGAAAGAGGGGGAATTCGGACAAATCTCTATTCGTGTAAAAAGTAAATCTCAAAACAGATCACTGTTGCTGATGACAACCAGCAAGGAGGACAGTTACTCAGGCCCTGCAAAGATCTGCATTGTGCTCGTGAACAAGTTAGTTCACCTCCTGCAAAAGCCGTCTCAATGTCAATGTCACTGGTAAAAGAGCGAGCAAAGGAAGCAGAGCCGTGGTGGCTAGTGCGAGTCCCGCTGCAAACACAGGAGGCCAAGACAAACAGCCAGGTTTCTGCCAAAGGAAAGAGGGTCAAAATGGCAGTGCAAGAAAGGCTATAGAGAAGGGTCACAAGCAACAGACGGAGAATGAAGTTGAGAACTGTACAGCAGTCCTCTGGATTCTCAGTAAGTCACCCTGAGGAGAGTCCGGGTTTCCTGCTATCCCACGGACAAAAGGAGAGGAAGATGTACCAGTCTCTGGGACAAAGGCAGAAAACGTAGCTGTAGAAAGATGTAACTGAAGGCAAACCCATAACAATACTGCAGCCCAAAGAATACGCACTCGCTGGCCTCCGAAAAGGTGAGGGAAGTGTCCTTGGATCACAGCTAAAATCATGACATGGCTGAGCTGGGGATCTGTAGCACATGAATTCCACCGAGCAACAGGTCTGGACACCAACATTCTGGACAGACACCCCCAAAGCTTATGAGGGTAAACACTCCAAGTACCAAGGTGTGAAAGTGAATAAGACCCACGATTTTGACAGGGATGGGGCACTCCCTTGTTCACCCAGGGTAATACATATCCACACCCCAGCCCCCTTTACCAAAGTCACTCTCCCCTTTAGCAGCGTATTTAAGGAAAGGAACATTTCCCTCTCGGCCAGTATACACAGCAACTCTGGGCTGAGATAAAGGATCAGAGACTACTCACCGCTGTTGCCATCCATTAATGCTTTCACAGAGCTGGTGAGGTCCAACATAGCTGCAGAGTTTGAAGTGAAAGATGAGGGGACAGTTAAAGAGCTTCCTATGGATACGGTGCTGGGACTGACCTTACCATCTAGAGAGACGGGGAGAGAAGAGAAGTGTCAAGATGCACAGTCACCTCTGAGCTACTGATGAGCCCTCAACTCATACTTCTGATTTTCAAACTGCACAAAATGGCTCGTTTTGCTTGTAGCCATGCTTTGAAAAGAGGAGTAACTCCTTTCACAACCAGTAATCCACGCCTCCTGAAAGGGGCTCTGAATAGTACCACACGTTTTCCCAGAGCAGTTCTAGCTGGCAGAACTGAGTTCCGTTTCCACGGGCTCCTGCACCTCTACCATATGCTGAAGGGAAGTCACGTTATCTTGGAAGTACGACCTGTGGAGCAGAGCTGTAAGGTGTTTGGGGGACAGCCTGAAACCCAAATCTCACTGGACCCAGAGGGGAGAAATCTTGGGAGCAGTTTTTCTGTGTTGGGTTTTATACATTTGCAGAATTTTGGATAAGAAACGTTTTGTTAACCAGAAACAAAATGAATGTTTCTGTAACTTGTTTTGGAGATCTGCTACTGCCAACACAAGTGCCATATGTACTGTGGAAGCCTGAAAGCTCTTTCCTGGGTGGTGAGAATGTAACAGAGAAGCAATGTGCATACACGTGACTTTAGCTCATTCACAAACTGCAATCCTACTGCTTAAAATAGTGTGACATTTGTGAAATGTCTGCTTCAGAACTACATAGCAGTGAAGGAAATTACGCCCCCATGCCTCAGATACCCAAATCCCCTGCCTCCCCCTGATAATCTATTTAGAATTAGATGAGAAATACTAACGGCGTTTAAAAAGGACATTACTTTTTCCTTACCTAGATTCCCATAACCTTCCGTTACTAGAACCAAGAATTAAAATCTAATTTATTTTTCACTTCCAATGTCAGTTTCTCTTTAGTTTAGGCTCGTTCACTTGTTCTCTAACACAATGCAGCATGAGTTGAATAGCAAATACTGGAGGGGAAACCTACATTCCACCAACATTTGTTATCATAGGATTTTTTTAATTTTACAGAAAAGTTCTCTTGGAAGCTGAGTGGGGCTTTGGTTTGCATTTTATAAAATCTAAAGTTTGGGCCCAAACTGACCTGACAGCATCCCTTTAAGAAGCATTTTCAGGATTATCCATGCTTTGCCGGACTCTTAGAAGCTTGAACATAATGTTTCTCCATATCAATATGGTCCCTTTTCCACTTGGTAAAATTTCCCTCCTCCCCATCCCCGTGCTTCCAGCTGAAGCAACAGCCAAGCCAGCAGCTGTGTGTTTGCTTTCTCCTTTGTGCACCAGTGTGATTGAGATGGTCAGCAGCCATGGGCATATATTTTACATTAATGCTGCTTCAGAGGAAAATCTGTCAGTCACTCATACCAGAGTTTTTTAAGATAATACTCAAGCCAGCTAAGCGCTCGCTCTCCCCACTGTGTGTACTAACTGTTTGGATGCTCACTAGCTCCAAAAAAATAATTCATTTATTTTTAAGTGCCCTGAAAGCACTTTAACAAACCAAACTTATGTGGGTATCTCTCAATCACTTCCCTGCCGCTATGGAGGGCTCAGCCACTGGTGCACCTCAGCCCCTCCTATTCTCTGTCTGGGGCTATAATACTTGGCTCTCATTTCGGTTGCTGGGTTTAGTGTGCAGGTGCTGGGTGGCTTGTGACACCGAAAAGGTCAGACTAGATGATCCGGTGGTCCTTCTGGCCTTAAACTTGGACTGTGAACCCAACCCTCCCCACAGAGCTGTACTGGGAACACCGCCACCTCTACAATTTGCATTGTGACTATTACATGTCCTTAATGGCCTCTTTTCAGTTGCACATGGCTTTTTGAATCTTTATGTTGTACAATGACATTTTCTGGGCTTAAACGAATGTGAAGGTGTTGGTTTATTTGTTTTGAAGCTTGAGGAAAACCGATTCAGCTGTTTCTCTGTACAAGAAAATATCCCATTCCTCAATTATAAAAAATTGCAATTTTTCTGAACAGCTCTACCATTCAAAAAGAAGATTCACTATTTGCATTGCCATAATGCGTCTGCATATCTTTGAATTAATTTTTTATGTTATCTGGTCCTAAGGAATCCATTTTAGTACATTTGTCAGCGTCCACAGTATTGTACATTTCTTTTTCAATTAGCAGCACAGACATTACTGGTGCAATTCGGGGTGGAGGCTGTTAACCACAAAGCTCACTGAACAGCATGTATTATGCCAGCAAACTTTCACTATTAGTGTTGTAAACTTTATATTTGATATAAACCTAGTGTTAAACAGAATTGTCCTATGAATAACTTTCATGATTTGGGTATACATCCAGAAGGACAAAGTTACAAGACACTAAACACATCGAAGGTTGTGCAAAAAGCAGACAGAAGACTATTGTAATTCATAAGAACCAGGGTGGAGCTGAGGTTGTACATGAAATCTTAACTGTGGCATTTCCTGACTAACCCTCGGGATTTGGGGTTTTTTTGTATATAGCCTTTGCAAACAAACGAACGGGGTCACACATTATGATCTTCACAGCCTTGAGTGCCTGCTTCCAACAAGACATTAAAGCAGAGATTTGAAGTAATCCATTTGGAAACTCCAGCAATCTTCTTAAAGCAAATGTACTGTTACAGTTGTCAAAATAGCAACTGTGACAGCCAGGGCCGGCTCCAGGCACCGGCTTGTCAAGCAGGTGCTTGGGGCGGCCGCTCCAGAGAGGGGTGGCACGTCCAGGTATTTGGCGGCAATTCGGCGGACGGTCCCTCACTCCGCCTGGGAGCGAAGGACCTCCCGCCGAATTGTCGCCGCAGATCGCGATCGCGACTTTTTTTGTTTTGTTTTGTTTTTGTTTTGGCTGCTTGGGGCGGCCAAAACCCTGGAGCCGGCCCTGGTGACAGCAACACAGCAACTGAACAGTTGAAATGATCGTGCGTTTCCAGAATTTCCAGTTCCTTCTGAACCCCTGATGGATCAACAGTTTCAGAAAGCAGCACAGTACTCCCCCTCTTTAGAGATGCATTCAACTGGCAACGTCCAGCACAGGGCCCAATTTCTGTTTCAGGACCTGTGGGCAACCCTAACCCTAACTCTTTCCATGGTGCCATGTCTGCGGCAAGCCTCGCTTCTTGCAGTTACTATACTTCATGCTCTGAAAGAAAGATTTTTAAACACTCACTTCCCAGCTGGAAGGCCCAGATCTCCCCATCAGATGCTCACCTGAAGGTGGTGCTGGTGAACAGAATCTGTGTGTGGATCCGATGGCAGAGATCCCATCTCCTGTTGCCTGTGGAGGAGTAAGAGCCCTTGTGGCAGTCAAAGGGGAACCAACTGATCGCAATTCTGCTGTCAGCGGGGGGCCTATCTGCGTCTGGACATTCTTTCTTTGCAAAGTGCTGGTGGTCTCTAGGCTGGCACAAGAGCTTGGTATGGAAGCAGGCATACTTGTGACTGGCACAGAACCCCTTTGTGCACAAGAAACGGGTCCTGCTATGTTCTCCGTCTTCACAACAGTTCCAACGGTGTGATTCAGAAGTCCACAAGCTGCTGGGGGGGTGAGGGGCCTAGCCCACGTTTGCCGATGAGACAGCCCAGGTATTGCATTCCCTGGGCCAATTAGCCTCTGAGAATCAGTCAAGTGTGCCGAAGGTTCAGAGGAAACACCATACAAATGAGGACCATTTACTTTAACTTCAGAGGCAGTTGGCCCATTAGAAGTCCCGCAAGAAGATACTTTCTTTGACTTATCCATACAAGAGCTGCAATTGACATCTTCCTGTGGTAAAGACTGCTGGGATTGAGAAGAGCTCAAGGAATTCTGGGTGGTAATCCCTGAGGTGCACGACACGGAATAAAGGGAAGGTGTGAGTGCCTTGTCAGCTGCCTGGTAAGGGTTGGTGACTGAGCCATCTGCCACAATAACAGGCTTAATATCAGCCTTCTCTGTCTGTTCAGAGTCCCAAAGCGAAGGCATCTGCTTAGCAGATAAATGTCTCAAAATGCTGCACTGGAGCGCAACAACACTACAGAGCCACTGAAAACAGAAAGAAAACGTAGGTCAGTGTCACAGGCTGGTCACTCACGCAGCATGCCCGCTTCAGCCACCCAAACAAGCAGGTCACTTTACCCGGCATCACTCTGCCTGCTCCTGGAAAGGCAGTTCACCACCACAGCAAGACAACTTAATATAGGTATATTATGGAGCCATGGTAGCTGTTCTGATACAAATGCAATACAAATCAGGTGGTTAGGAGCACTATACCTCTGTCATAGGACTTGCATCTATTCCATAATATATATCAATCACGTTGGTACTCAAGAGAAACATTTTGCCCAAATCCAAGCTAGTTACAGTGAGAGTCTGCCTTATGCCCAAAATTCCACCTCCATCTTGCTACAAGATTCAAGCAGATTCCACTTTCACACACTACTTACTGGCCTTTCTATAAAATGGGTTTCTCTCAATCTTAGAGTGCATCCAGCCAAATGACACTGTAGAGAAAGCTGGAGCCGACTGCAGAAATACTTTGGCTTCCTGTACAGAAGCTTTTTTAGGGACAGAGCAGAGAACCTATTTAAACAATGAGGATTGGGGGAGGATTCCTTCAAGGCTTCCAAAGGCAGCGTGCTGACATTACCAGCTTGGGAGGCACTTTCTGAACAAGGATGGGTATTGGCCTAAGGCACGTCACCATGCATCCTTCACTTCCAGAACAGAATGGAGTCCCTACATTAGACACACATACACAGAGGCTGCAATTGCCTTCCACTGAAGTTTACCCCACTCACACTGTGGGACCAGCTCATCTGGTCAGTCTTGTAACAGACGACAGAGTGGCTTACAGCGTAGACCGCTATTTGCAAAGGGATTTGTGGCTTACAATACTGTAACCCAGCAAGTGAACTCAGAGGAGGTATAACATTTAGATTTGACATTAAAAATATGCCCATACAAAGCTTCCGAGTGTCCTCACATTAGTCTTACAAAAGCCACCCAGCAACATGAATGTTAACATACAAGTTCGTTAACGCCACCAGCCTTACACAACCAAATGGAGAAAGCAATTTCCCTCTGCCAGATGACAATAAAATAAATGGATATATGCCCATCCCATAGAACTGGAAGGGACCCTGAAGGGTCATCGAGTCCAGCCCCCTGCCTTCACTAGCAGGACCAAGTACTGATTTTTGCCCCAGATCCCTAGGTGGCTCCCTCAAGGATTGAACTCACATCCCTGGGTTTAGCAGGCCAATGCTCAAACCACTGAGCTGTCCCTCCCCTCAATCGGCCTGCTAAATCCAGGGTTGTGAGTTCAATCCTTGAGGGGGCCACTAAGGGATCTGGGGCAAAATCAGTACTTGGTCCTGCTAGTGAAGGCAGGGGGCTGGACTCTATGACCCTTCAGGGTCCCTTCCAGTTCTAGGAGATAGGTATATCTCCATATATTTTAATTTAAATGACAAAAAATGTAAACACTCAAATCACTCCAAGCATTATACCCTCCTCACTCTCCCCCAGACTCTGTCAGAAACAGCCTTCTCTCTGTGCGTGGGAGGTGTGACGATGAGGGGAACTTGCATGATATAGGTATCCACCATCAGCTGACGAGCTGTAGGTCACAGATACCAGTCTGGGGACAATGGACTTGAACGTTGGTACTCTGACCATCCAGTAGCTATACTAAGGAGGGTTGGCTGGAGCTGGGAGACCTTTCCCCCAGCTTGTCGGTAGGGGGCTGGGATTTGGAGAGTGGAAAGGTGCCAGCAGCAGAACAAAGGAACCTGGTGGTGGTGGTGGGGCAAAGACTGTACCCTAGGAGTGTGCCTAGAGGTGCTGAGATAAGAACACTGCATGGGCTCCATTCAGACTTGAGGCTTAACACACAATCCAGCAGCTGGATCCCTTCACAGCTGTGACAGGTCATGGGAGGAGAGAGAAGAAACAGTCACCACTGCACATATGTTCTAGACTTGCTATTCAGAAAGATACTTTGATCATATCTAACTGAAATGCACAGCAAAGAGAAGCTATAGAGCCAAAACATTTGCCATCGTTTACCTCTTGTTGTTCTGACTGGCTGGCTAAGTGCTCAGAGTTCAAAAGGTGCTTCTGTGAGGATTCCTCAGGGACCCCATTACAGATGAGCTCACCATCCCGAATTGCTGCAGGTGCAAGTAAGGAGGGTGGAAACCGGTATTGAGATTTTATCGCATCAGGAACCTGAATTGTCAGGAGGGAAGAGGAGACATTAGATAATTACAGGTGCGTTCCATTAAACTACAGTCATTCTTAACAAGTATTATCCAAATTTACTACTGGCCGATGGTTCCCAGGCCAAAGAAACCAGAGATTGTGCCAACATCGGTCAGCACTGTGGCAGAGTGGAATACAAAAGGGGGACATCAGAAGATAGGAAAGTTTCAGGGCTATGTGCAGACTTGGTTTAAGTTGACACAACTCTGCTGAAGTCAATGGAATTTCCCCTGCTTATACCAGATCTGGACTTGAGCCCTTAGTGTATTGGTTGTAGCATGAATGCATCCATTCAAACAAAATAAAAAAAGCGGGTGAAATACATTTATTTAAAATCAAATGCCCATTATATTGAGTTATTCTTCCTCATTTAGATTGGGTAGGTATTTTGCTGACAAATTAGAACACGTGAAGCAGCGCTGGTTCTTCTGACTTCAGCACCTGCTACAGAAGAAGTTCCTCCATATCTCTACTCTGCTTTAGAAGTTAGCCACCTCAAACACTGCAGAAGAAAACCGAAGCCTGGACCCCATGCTTGGCAGGTTAAAGAACTTTTCAGTTTCTCTAAATTAGTACATGACAAAAAGCAATGCTTTCAACTGTGGGGCTCTGAGCCACACATTTAGTAGGATACCCTCTGCCCTGGCAGCTTTGAATCCATTAATCCTTCATCCATCCCCCATAGACAGATAAGTATCTAGTCTTAGCCTGGAGGTTCTAGTAAAGATTCCCTCCCACTTTTTTCTATCTTCCCAACTTGTTCCAAAAGTGTATTTACATTTACTGCTCAAAGGAGTTTAATTTAGAAACCTTACTAACTTTAAATTGTAGTAGTGACTCTTGAAAAGTAGGGTGTTAAGCTAGCTGACCTGCTGTGATTGCAGAAAAATATTTACACATTCTAGAGCACATAAAAACAGGATGGTTTGCATGGTGTATGCTTGCTTTCGTCTCATATACAAATAAGTAATATAGGGAGCTCTTAGTAACTTAAAAACCTTCCAATTTTGAAGCATGAGTGCCACTCACTAGAAAGGCAACAGCATTTCTTAAAGTTGCATTTGAAAGATGTGTAGTTGCCACCAAGTGGCAAAACTGTGTAATGCTACTTCATTGGTAGGCTGGATAGCTAAATGTAGCTACTGGAAAGCAGCAGTACTCCACTCCCAAGTTTGAGATCAGATGCTATCGTCACTTCTTCCTAGCCCTGCTAGGGACACACCAAAGACTAGAGACTTGATAATCCATCACACTGGGGCATGCCTGTTACGTGCCTTTTTATTATGCTAAAACATGTAAGCAAGGTTCTCCAGAACGTTTCCTGTTTTCACTTACCTTCAAACCTCTTCTCTTCACTGACTGAACAACTCTGCGGTTGGGAGGGTGTTTCTTGTGGATTCGGTTCAGGAAATCCACCTTGACAACATGCTGAGATATGGTGTCTTGGAACCGATCAAAAACCCGGCACCGATTGCTCAGGGTCATGTTCTTCTGGTTCAGCTGGAAGAGCAGATACAATACTGGCATAGTTAGGATGACAGATACCAATACCTGTTCCAAACAATAGCTGCCTCTTTCACAGTCAGTTGGTACTGTACCACCAATACCATCAGCTCAGCTTTAGTGCTCTATGTTTATGAATCAAAAAATATAAAATTGTTTCTGCTAGAGGGTACAACTTTATAAAGTCGAAAGATAAAATCTTTCAGTGACCCAATAAGTTAATGTCTGCTTGTGTAATCTCACAAACAGTCGATCTCCTGATACATGTATTTAGATACCAGCCATCAGTATAATGAATATTTGACTATAAAATAGTCCCCACCAACTTGAAGCAGAGGGAACAGAGAGCTGATTCACACAAGGAACTCCTTATTCAGAAAAGGGTAGGGTTTTGGGGGGATAGTTCTAGATTTTGGTATGAAGAAGCTGAGAGCTACAGAGAAATAACTTTCATCTACTGCTTTCCTTCTGTCTCAGAGGTTGCCAACTTGATCACATTTGTCTGAAAATCAAGCTTTTCAGAGTCACAAACACCAATTACTAAAGCAAAGAAAATTAGCAAAATCAATATTCTACTTTTTCAGTTTGTTACTTTGTGTATAGTCAGAGTTTATTGCTTGTTGAAAACATCCTTAGAAATACCAATGCAGGAGCAATAAACTCTAAAAGTTTGAGTTTTTTAAAAGTTAGTCCATTAATAAAATTGAATCTGACCACGTCCTTTTAACAGCCATTTACTGTTCTAAACTTACCACCACGTGTTCAATATGATTTGGACACATCCATCTGCCCAGGGGCATGGCAGTAAGAGGGGGCTCAAGACAATCCATGTGGAACAGGAGGGGGCAGTAATCACACTGAATAAGAGGTGCCACTCTGCAACTCCTGCAAAGAAACAGGGAAACAGCTGCTATTTTTATTATTTCCTAGAAAACCAAAATTAATGTTGCTCACCACCTTCCTATGCTACAAGTGGGAGGGGAGGGGATCACTTGTAGCCAATAATTAGAAAGAGACCAAAGTGGCCCCAGTGTCACAATTCATGTAACCTAATAAAGTTACTGTAGCTCTCATCCTTCCTTTCCCCTGCATTATTTGTTGCTATTGTCTAAAATTAGGCAACAATGGTGTAATTCGATCTGTGTGGAGTCCTATTGGACTGAAGTCAAATGGACACAAAGATCTGCCCATACAGATCCAAGTGCAGGATGGGGGTCTTGGATTGTAAAATCCTTCGGGTAGGACTGGAGCAGTGTCCTTTGTTCCCCATGCACTCCATAGAAGCTGTACGAGCAGTTCTGAACACGCTGCTCTCATTCACTACTGCTTTGGCCAGTAAGCTCATTACCAAGGAAACTCATGGACGCTAAGAGCAACCTCCAGGGAGTTCAGTTATTCCCAATTACTCCACTCCTCAGAGAGGTACAGTCTGTTGCAATGGGAACTTTTACTTCAGAGAGATGGAAGAGGTCATAAAAAACTGGACATGAGAGGGGTTCTCTTTCAAATACGCTTGTTCTTCCCAGCCACAAACAATTCATTTAATGAAGCCATCAGCCATCTCGTAGGTTTCTTTTTTTAAAGCTTACCTGAAGCTCCTCCTCTCTTCCGACAGCTCACTTAGAGTGAAAGACGACACTAAGCATAGCTGTACTGTGATTCAGTTTCCACAATAAAATGACTGAGACTATCAATTAAACTGACTTTTTGGGCTGGGACTTAAATTCATAGATATGGTTCACTGTTCCAACAACCCAACATTGCATAAATATTTAGCTCTCTGGTTTTGTGATTAACCATTTCTGAGTGTCCCCTGCATAAACTGGTGGCATGCATCTTTGTCAGTGATGTTCTGCCTTTTGTTTCTGAGGGTTATTTTCTCCTAACACCCTCTACATGTACCATAAATTACACTCACTACTACAAAATTTTTATTTATCCAATACCTTTTAAGATCAAAACTGGTATTTAAGCAGAGGATGACAAACTTCTTTCACAAAACAACAGAATTTCACCCACACCAAGTGAAACTCCCAGAAGTGGGAGACTTGGGTACCTGTTGCATGTGAAGCAGACTTTCACCGGCAAGGGAACCAGACCATTATGGTCTAGCTCATGTTGTGCTTTCTTAACATTCTTTCCCGTGGTTTCCTCCTTCCTCCTCCTCTTACTAGTACCTGAAAAGTAAATGAAAAGGTTTTGCATTACTCGTGTGTAACAGAGCTCCTATTCTAATCACTGTAACTGGAGCAGATGAATATACACATCCATCTCCAGCAGAAACAAACAGACTGAGCTAGGAAGAGGCTAGCAAAGCTGCTTAGGGCACCACAGCCCTGACTTAAATCTGGTATCAATTTAAAAGAAGGGGAGATGAGGAATAAAAAGATAAAATGAAGGCAGGCCAGTCTCATTTGTAGACAGGAGCCAAGAAAGCAAGCAGCCACCTAGATTTAGTCAGAGACAACATCTAGGCTAAAGTGAGTTTTCAAATTATCAATTTATTACTTAGTATGAAAATCTATTCCAGAGTACAATGGCAGGGAATGAAAGTTTGGCAATTAACAGTCCTAACAAAATACAAGGAGACTTCCTCTGGCTAGTAAAATCCTCTCGCCAGTGTCATTTGGTCTGGCAGAGGGCGTCTGAGAGCGGCTGTACAGTACACTACTCTGTTAAACTATTGAAGTTCAGGGCAGTCCGGCATTTTGCTATTAAACAGATTTCCAAGTCCTCCTGCGTGCCCTGGAGCAAAATAAAAACTCATCTATCGTTCCAGTGAAGCAGCCACATCAGAAGAGGAGCTGGAGGAGAGCATACACCCGCACCATCTACTTTCACGAGGAGGGGGCCTCAGAGCCAGAATTAGAAAAGCATGTCAGTAGAAACTCGCATAAGCTGGACAAACGAGAGCACAGAGGTGGCAGAGGGCACGTTTGCAACCACCAGTTGCATTTCTGAACAGTAAGCTATGCAAGCAGACAATATTTACTCACCTGGAAGTGCTGTGGTGCAGGTCAGTTCATTCGGCAACTGGAACTGGGTTGGGTTTCTTTCCATGGCAGCTGCAATAAGAAGCTCAAAGGGTCGCTTCAGCTGGGGCTGCCCACAGTCCATTTCCGCAATGGCAGAGTCATCATCCACGTCAATTATATCCTCATCTACATCATTCTGCTCTGAATTGGGAGTCTCAGTGCTGGCATTAGATGTGGGAGTGCCAGGCCGACTTGCTCTCCGTTCCAAGATCCTGGCATGTGCAATTGCCCTGATGCTGGTGCTAGACCTGTCCAACAGGTCTGTGTCACTGGTAGGGGAGGTGGTCCTTTTCCCAGATTTGTCCACCAATCCATTTACCTGCCCCAGCTCCTTCTTCTGTTCTCGCTTCTGCAGAATATGAAGAATCACACTTACCACTCAGGCCAGATAAATAAGTACATTGGCCCTGATACATACATAAGTAAAGATTAAACAGTTTTCAGAAATGCTACATGAACAAGAGCTCAAGACATTTATTGCAACAGTTTCTCACCATGACATTTAGCCTTAAGCCAGTAAAAGCAATTGGTTATTGCTAGTGTGACTAAGTCATACAATTACTAAAGCAGTTAGAGCGGCCAAGCGTGGGAGGAGGTTAGCCTACTTGCCTTTTACCTCTGGAGACTTGGATTCAAATCCAGTTTGGACACAAGAAACATATTTAGTGGCATCAGGTTTCAAATTAATACTCAAGAAGTCAACCAACCAATGTATTTGGAAGACCATATTTACCAATGACACCTCTTAGAATAATGCACCGTGCAGCAGGCTTTGCAGTGTTTGAGTCCATTTATAGCAGGACTACTCAAAAACGAGAAAAGAATTAGAACGATGACTTGAGAGTACATAAAAACTGCAATGTGCCAACACAACACAAGAACTGGCCACTTCTGCTCAGGAGAGTCCGTGGGGAGCTGCAGGTAAGGCCGGAGAGCAACACTGGAGCTAAGGGCTGCAATAGCAGAGGCTGGGGCACAGAAGAGTTCAAGTGTCCGAAGAAGCATGCAGAGTACTTGCCTACACTATGCCTAGTATGAAGAATCAGCCACTGGGAGTCAACAAAGTAATGAAAAGCCACCCCAATAAAGTGGGTGAGTATGGAAAGGAACATGGAATACATACAATTTTCAGGGGACTAAAGGTGGAGTTTGGCAAGCAACTGTGATTTAATTTTGAGTAGGGCTGTCGATTAATCGCAGTCAACTCACACGATTAACTCAAAATGAATCGCAGTATTAATTGCACTGTTAAATAATAGAATACCAATTGAAATTTATTAACTGTTTTTGGATGTTTTTCTACGTTTTCAAATGTATTGATTTCAATTACAACACAGAATACAAAGTGCACAGTGCTCACTTTATATTATTTTTATTACAAATATTTGCTCTGTAAAAATGATAAACAAAAGAAATAGTATTTTTGAATTCACCTCATACAAGTACCATAATACAATCTCTTTATTGTGAAAGTGCAACTTACAAATGTAGATTTTTTTTTGTTATATAACAGCACTCCAAAACAAAACAATGTAAAACTTTAGAGCCTACAAGTCCATTCAGTCCTATTTCTTATTCAGCCAATCGTTAAGACAAATGCTTGGACGCATGTCCTCTGCAGTGGTGGTTGAAGCATGAAGGGACATATGAATCTATAGCGCATCTGGCATGTAAATATCGTGCAATACTGGCTACAACAGTGTCATGCGAACATCTGTTCTCATTTCCAGGTGACATTGTAAACAAGAAGCGGACAGCACTATCATCTCCTGCAAATGTAAATAAACTTGTTTGTCTGAGCGATTGGTTGAACAAGAAGTAGGCCTGAGTGGACTTATAGGCTCTAAAGTTTTACATCGTTTTGTTTTTAATGCAGTTTTTTTGTACATAAGTCAACATTTGTAAGTTCAACTTTCATTATAAAGAGACTGCACTACAGTACTTGTATGAGGTGAATTGAAAAATACTATTTCTTTTGTTTTTTTACAGCACAAATATTTGTAATCAAAAATATAAAGTGAGCACTGTACACTTTATATTCTGTGTTGTAATTGAAAGCAATATATTTGAAAATGTAGAAAACATCCAAAAAATATTTAAATGGTATTCTATTATTTTTTTAATCGCGATTCCTTTTTTAAAATCGCTTGACAGCCCTAATTTTGAGGTCTCTAGCCAGCCAGCATTAGTTCTTGGTGGTCCTAGTCTGGAAGGTGCAACGGGCATAATTTATTATGAGTCACAAGGGGCAGCATCAGCACAGTTTAAGGACTTAGCAGTCACATCAATCTACATGAAAGCTGTGAGATGTGCAGCATATGAACCTCCAAGGGAGAAAATGTGCAAAGCCAGTTGCACATGGGAAAGGAGGAGGAGAACACTCGCCCCCCCCCCAAAAAAAAAACCCCAAACAAACAAAACAGGAAAGAAATCAGGAGCAGAGGGAAAAAAACAAACAAATTTGAGCCACCAGAAACTCAGCCTTTTGTCGGATACAGTTTTTCCGGAAGCAGCATTTCTTGTTTGTGTGAGGTGCTGGAATGAGCAAAAATTAAGGGCTAAGCCATTCAAGATAAGGAAAAGAGTTAGAAAAAGCAAAAGCCATTGCTCTTTTTAAGATGACCTTTTTATTGTTGAGAAAAGTTTCTGAAGCGTTACTGTCTTCAGGATATAACAGCATCACAAGTGATTTGCCAGGAGCAAGAGACCATGATAAAAGGTGGCAAGTTGGAAAAGAGAATGTGTTGGAGGTGAATTTGTGTGGCACTTCATATGAATGGCTTCCTGGATAATTTGGTGCAGAATCTCTTTAAACACTTGGGTACACAGTCTGAAGACGTCATTGCTGCAAAATCATGTTTACATTTAGCAAGGAGAGCTTCCTGGGAAATAGCATGTCAAAAAACCAAGCCACAATCTTGCCGAATCATCTCTCCATCCTGTTCTTGCAAATAAGGAAGTCATAATTCACAGCAATTCAGTCTGTTGCTATGGACATTGTTGTGGGGTCACAGTTTTGTTTGGTTTTTGCTAGCCAGAATCATGAGGCACTGCAATAAAAGCATCAGACACTAAAGATGGGAAGCCATATTAAGTCACAACTAGTCCATCTCCTTTGCCCGTGCAGAATTATTCCCTCTGGGATATTTTTAGTGCAGTTTGTTTTTTCCTGTTCAAGATTAAATGTGGAAAATTGCTGTTTGCTGAGGGTATGTTACTAAATTAAATGTTTGTAAGTCTGGATTTAAAAGTTCAGTTTTGTGATTTCTAATAGTAAAAATCAGTACAGGAATTTGGGACTGGCTTAGAGTTTTCTATGCACCTATTCCTAATCAAAACCTCTCTGCTCTGCCAAGCTGTCTAACCTTCACTTTACTTCCTGCGATTCCATGATCTCACACACACTGGAGCAGAACTCTAAGGTTTTGTATCTGTGTCTGTGGGGGTGGGAAAAGAAAGGTTGGTAGGAGGAAAAAAGGGCAGAAAGACTCAAATACGAGTGACAAATGTTTGGAAAATACTAAAGAGTGACCCAAAGAGAACCGAGTTTGTTTGGATAAGAGGATTTACCTTTCGGCGTACAGTGCAGCGATGACACATCCACTCCCCTGGAGGCAACATTTCCTCGCTCAATGGAGGGTTACTACAAGAGGAATACAAAGACACAGTTTACTTTCAGATTCAGCTTGCAACTCAAAGCATTTCAAGCTGGCCCAGAATAATTCTGCGAGCTTCCATTGCCAGGAATCTTCTGCATTTTATTCAGGTTCGTTGACTGTGCTCCCTCTGTAGACAGTTCTTTGTAATAAACCTTCTATCACCAATGAAGCAAATTATAAAATCTTATAGTCTTCTAAAACATTCACTTCCACCTTAAAATATTCTGCTCTTAAAATCAGTCCTCCATATTAAGCACTTATTTTCCACTACTGTGGTGCTTGCCCTGTCCTTCGCATCAAGAAAACAGACTACAGCCAGGACCCCTCTTCAACTGAGGGTGTCTCTACACTGGAGCTGGAAGTGTAATTTCCAGCTTGAGGAGACAGCTCAATAAAAGCTAGTGTGGGTAACACGCTAAAAATAAAATAAAGGTAGTGTGTGAGGGGTGGGACGGATTCCCTGTCCCAACTACCGTACACGCCTAGGGTCCTTGACGGGATTGGGCTTGGAGTTGCTAATCCATCCTGCCTCTGGGATCCACTTCTATTTTTAGTGCACAAACTCAATAAGAGCTAGTGTGTGTACATTTACCCACCTCCAGCTCCAGTGTAGACATGCTGTAAGTGAGCTGTTGCCATGAAACTCACCTGCCCAGGAAGAGAAGAGGCAATGCATTATATCTACCAGTGCATTAGAATCAGCTAACTGGTAGCAAAACACATTCATTCTCTGCATCAGTTACTATCAATCATAATAAGGCCCTGGTAGTCCACCAACACGTGATATATGCAGTTTGACTTGAATATATGAGCATAAGATTTGTCTGACTCAAAGAATCAGCCCATAGCCATTAATGAACAGATACTGCACCATGTCAACAAGAATATCTCCAAAACTGAGAGATGTTATACTGCATACGTGAGTCAAAGTCCATATTTCTTGGAATTGCATTTTCTGTGCCTCCCTTCCCACTATATTTTAATCTCCTTCGTCCAATCCTCCTTCCTGTCTATGTGATAAGGCCATTGGTGAAAGAATTACAAAGTTACTGCTTGACCACAGATTGGGAAGGGTGGAAACCCTTTTCATACGGCTTAACTACAATTCTTTCAGTTTTCTGGAAGCAACAGAATTGTATAAAAGTATTTGCTAGGATCCTGGACTGTGGCCATGAGCAGCTCCAGTAGAAAGCATACAGAAGAACCAGCAGACTGGCTGGCTGAAGCAGGAAACGTGGCAGAGAATTTGGAAAACTGCGAAGATTTTAGGGGCGTGGAAGTTAGTCTCACATCAGTAACAAATGTGAACAAACTTACAAATACATATCAATACCAGTTTCTCCTTCACTATCTATCAAAACTGAACTGAATTAAGTTTCCCTTGCAAGATTTGATGACAAAAATCCGAATAAGCAGACACAGAAAGAAAAAACCATCTAAATGAGAAACTCAAGTTAAACCAAACTAGTTCAAGGGGTGATGGGGATAAAGCTCACCACCACCCCCAGGACAGTGGGATTTTGAAATCTGGCCATTCTCCAGCCTTCTCTCAGTGTTACAACAGCATAAGAGATGTTTGAGGGGGGGTTTTTTTGTTTGTTTGTTTTTTAACTCTTTTCCCAAGACATTTATCTGGTTAGTGTTTTTAAAACAGTAATTTTCAACTAAGATCTTTTTTCCTGCACAAGTTATGGTTTAATCAGATCACTAACTGTTGCAGAGGAAACAACTTCTGTCAGATAAACAGAGGACTCTGTTTCCATGTAGTTTGTTTTCAGTGTATTTATTTGTATTTTAACTCTGTCTAAGTTTACTGCCGTTGTTAGCCAAACTTCAACGCTGCAATACGTACTTCAGCCCAGGGAGCCCTCTGTCCTGCAGAGAGTAAATCCACTGGTTAGGCACTAGCATAGGAAGTGGGAGATTGAGTTCAATACCCTCGTTCTGCCAGACACCGCGTGTGACCATGGGCAAATCTCTTAACCTCTGTGTCTGTTCTGCATCTGTACCATGTGGAGAATAGCACATCCCTGCCTTCCAGGGTCTGGTGAGGATAAACACATTGAAAGAGAGTGTGAGAGCTCAGCTACTGCAGTAATGGGGACCATGTAAGTACCTGAACTTAAGGGACTGAGGCCTTATTTTGTCAAGTGCTTTGAGAGCTTTTGATACAAGGCACTACAGAAGAGCCAATTACTACATTAGTATTAACTAGCCTTTAAATACCAATCACTAAATAGCAGAGTCCTGAAATAAGTGACTGTTAGTCAAGTGTTCTTCTATAATTCATGAAAGAGTCCTTTTTACTACAAGGCACAGTGACATCACTTAGACAAGCCAACATAAAGCTAGCAAAAGTCACAGATGTTCTACTGTAAGTTAGTCTTTGCAAACAAATACTTTTAAATACGTCTCAGATATCAGCTTCTTCAGTGAGTCTGCCACCATCCGTTCTGAAGCTGTAGGTATTTGCTCCATAGAGAGCCCTAATGCTAGCAGCGGGTCCCAGGCACTGGGTCTGGCCTCAGCTTCTAAGTTTAACCTATAAAACAGACTTCCTCTTTTCAAAGAACGACGTAGCATACATTGGGTAAGGTTCACAAACATCCTGACACACAGTCTTCCACAGGCATTGAAGCTGTCAGGTTCACATTCTGTATGTTCAGTTGCACAGGTTCTAAGAATGGTTTTTACTGCCTTTTTCCTTCAGTCTTCCAAAGTGGTGGTAACCGCCATTTCTGGTCTCAAAAACACAGGGGGATTCAGTAGAGGTGACATCTGGCAGCAATTTTGAGAAACAAAAGTTGAGCATTTCAAGCAGCCTGTGCTTCAGGAATCTAGAGTACTATATTTCTAGACTACACAGTGAAACACACCTGGAGCTTGTTTTTCCATTTCCTGGAGGTCTCAGGTGAACAGATGATCAAGCTCCTTAGAAGGCACAAAGCACCAAAACCTCTCTTTCAACCACAGATAACGTGACAGAGTCTCAGATGTGCGGCTGAAATTATGAGGTGTTTTTTTTTTTAAAGAAACAAACCTTTTGTTATCAGAAGCCTTAGTAACAGCAACGATCTCAAATGTGCTTCTTAACATTTGGATTAATTGCAAGTCCTGAGGTGACCCCAGCAATAGCTTCAGATCCTTTACTCCTACTGGCTTAAGAGTTCTTTAAAAAACGTAGCTAGAAGTCACTGAACTATCTTGGGGCATCTTGCTGATTCCCTGCCCCCACCCCGAAAGAACAAAACTACATAAATTAGCAGTTCCAAAACTGCAAGAGGGCAAAAAGCATTTTAAGGTATGTTTCGTATGCCAACTCAGAAATACACATTTTGCCAGACACACTTCAGGCTATTTTAACTCATTATCCTGACCTTAGATATTTTTATAATGAAACAGTGAATAGTGCAATGGATCCCAGGAAGTGATAAAGGACAAATGATTTTGAATAGATTTCATTTTATGATGATTTAAAAAAAAAAATATTTCCTGTATGTATTTATGAAGAATATGATTTTTTGTTTAAAAGAGTCACTTAATACCACATCTCTCTTGCATTAGTCTGTAAAACCACTAGTTTTAAAACAATACTTTAGAACAAATGCTCATTTTTAAGGCTCTCTGAACAAAGTTGCCATTTCAAATCAACTGCAATATTTCAACATCAAACTCTCCTCCTGAATTTACTTAACCCTCCAACAGGGCCCAGCTACTGCAACCAATGCGCCAAAGCCTGAATCTGGTCCCGGAGGTTAATGAACTGCTCATCAAGACAGAACACTGTACTAACCAAGATGGATGAATACTGTTCTTGCACTGCTGTATTCTGAGCCAGGAAAAAGCCACTACCTTAGGTTAAACACAAAGGAACTGTACCTTAGTTAAGCATGCCATTTTAATTAACTAGTTATGACCACATTCCCCACCCCTTTACAGTAGGAATACTAGAAATAAGATCTTTAAGCAAGACAGCAGTCAGTGTTCTTACCATTTCACCAAATTCTACTTTGAGCTGACCACAACATGGCTGTTTTCTGCCTATCTTTCATACACTTATTAACACAAACCTCAAGAGCACTAATATTTGTTACAGATGAAGTCGCCGCCAGCAGGACCTGTTGCTCAACAGCACCAACTTAATTATCAATTACACACAATATATTTGCTTTTCAATATGGAATCATACCACAGATAGTTATACAAGAGCCTGCCCTCCATTTCAGAGACTTTTCCTTTTTATCATGACATGCAAGCAAAATGGTGCAGCAACACTGACATAACATGGAAGGTTATCGATGTGCGACCTGCATCTGTCTGCTCAGCAGTATAACATGTACATTTTAGAACTTAAAACAAAAGAAAGACAGCCCTGAAAAATATAAAATCTGACTTTCAAAGTTAAAGGACTAAACACACACACCTGAAAGGTCAGTCCCACAGAGAACTAATTAAAGATTTTCATGGCTCTACCTTTGCAAAGAACAGATTACACAAGCCAGAGAAAAAGGCATTAAATATTGTTTATACTGACAGTAATCTCATGGTTTTTCTATACTAAGAATCTTTTTTTAAACCCATTTTCACAATATAATGTTTATACAAGACTCATTTTACAAGACTATGGAACTATCTCCCATATACTGTACATTATGCAAAGCCTCACTTAGGAAGGTGAAATCATTATTTAAATGGATATCATGAAATCAAACAAACCCCCAAAGTGATCTGTATATTAGGAGTTTTCATCAAGCAATGAAGCTTGTTTTATTTTTCAATTTCACACTCTGGAGCTCACATACATCTGATGCGGGTATTAGACTAAATCCTGTAATTATGCTTACCGTCATTTCCTGAGGTCAGCAAAGTAAAGAAAACAAATGCTCAAGGGAATGGCACCCTCTCTGATCTGCCATATAAATGGTGCAAGTGTAAGACACTCGTCTCAAAAGGAACTGATTGTGACTGCATTGGAAATGCAAGT